GCAAATGAGAACTTTGCTTGGAAAGTTCTTTGCATTTCCAAAAGAGAGAACCAGTAGTCAGTAGGAAAAGCTAAAGACAACCAGAGAGGCTTCTTGGAAACAGAACTGGCTGGGGTATGGGTAGAGAGTGGAGGAGGGAGGCAGGCTTGGAAACTGTGAGCCTGCAGCTATCTGTCAGAAGAGCAGGACTTTATTTTATGCCAGGGGTAGGCAAAATATGACCTACAGGCTGGATCTGGCCACATCCTGCTGCTCCCCAGGGTATGCAGCAGGGCTGGGGCAGATCTGCAGCTGGACTGCCTTTCTAGGCAGCCCAGGCAGCAGTGGCTCCTTCCAGCTGCTACTGCCACTGGCCCCAGCCCTGCAGCACTGGTGAGGAACTGCACATGGAGCCTGACCCGGCATGCCCCACACCTGCTCCAGACTCACCTGTCCAGGCAGCAGCAGCAGCAGCAGCAGTTGCCAGGCAGAAACTGTTGCTTGGCATGGGGGAAAAGTGGCTTGGGTCATCATCACAGCTTGTGTGGTGCATAAATCTGCAAGGCCCAGGGAGAGCTGTTCCTTGAGGCCTGAGTGGAGGAGGTGCAGAGGTGGAGGTGGCCTGGCAGCGGGAGCATCTCCTGTGGTGCTAGCAGCAGCAGTTGGTCCCCCCACTGTGGTGCCAGAAGTGCTGCACACCCACCAGTGGGGATCAAGGTACTGGGTGCGGGAAGCTCTAGCAGATCACCTCCTGCAGCACTCCCCACCCTAGCCCACCTGTCTTGCTACCTACAGACCTCCTACCCCGTTCCCAGCCCCTGTGGCAGGCATGTGTCCAAAGAAGAAACCTTTATTGCCCTCACAACATACCCCCATCCCTCCCTCCTCCCCTTCAACACACACAGCCCCCTTCCTCCTCCCCCCACAACACACAGAGTCCCTTCAGCAAACAGAGCCCTGTCACCACCTTCCCCACCCATCAACAATGAAAAATCCTCTTCCCAGTGTGAAAACTATTTACAAGGTCTTTGTTTTGGTGTCCCAGAGTGGGGGGGCTATGGGGTGGGGGCACCTAGAGGGCAGGCAGCCAGCACCCCAGACTCTGGCCATTCCCCCGCTGGCCTGCACACTGCTCCAACTGTGGTGGGCTGGGGTCTCATCAAGGGTTAACAGCACCTTCTGGGGTGGGCTGCTCCTCCTCTGACTGGCAGAGCACAGGCCCAGCAGGGCTGACGTCCAGTCCTGTTGCTGGTAAAGAGACCTCCAGCTACACACCTGCATGGATCTGGGGCAAGCAGCAGACCGGGGCCTAGCAGCAGCACACCTGGGATATGGGCTGGGCCAAAGCCTTCTGTTGGTGGGGGGAGCAGAGGTCCTTCTCCTAGGCTCAGGTGAGGGCCTGCTGTGGAGTAGTTGCCAGGGGACCTTCAGGGCTAGGGATGGGGGCCAGGAAGAAGTGGGCATGAATAAGACTGCCAGGCCCAGGATGGTGTCCAGGGCCCAATGGGCATCATCTGTGGCCTGGACTGTGTGGCCCAGGATGGTGTTCTGCTCCTGCAGGACCTGGATCCACTCCCACTCATGGTCTGCCTGGTCCTGTGCTTCCTCCTGGGCAATGTCCTCCCTCCACCACCTGTCCTGGTAGGTCAGGTTCTCCTCTCACCACCTTTCCTCCTAGCCCACATCTTTTTCCTGCAAGGCCCAGGTGGTCCCCTCCTGCTTTGCCACCAGCTGCAGGAGGAGGAAGGTCCTGTGCATACTTCTGACACAGCTGGCACATCCCAAGGGCCCCAGCAGTGGGCAGTGGCATCCCTAACCTGGCATCCCTGCTGGCTACTCCAGCCTTTCCCCAACATTCACATGCTGGGTCTGCAGAGACAGAAGACAAAAGCCTTTTGTGAGAGTTTGCAATATTTCAGAGATAAGATGTGCTGCACCAGGGTCCATGCATGTGCTACCCAGCCTCAGATCAGAGGGCAGTCATGCACGGGTGCCCAGGGACCATGTTAAGCTGGCCGGGTAGGTTCAGTCCCAGGCAGCTGCTGGTCAAGCCTCCCATCCCTGCTCACTCATCTGAGGTGAGTGCCCCACTGGGTGCTGGCCACAGGCAGCTTACCTCCCGAACCCTGTTCCCAGGGCAGGACAGGCCAGGCTGCTTGCAGCACCTGCTGCTGCAACTCCAGACCCCATTGCTCCCACTTCCTCTGTAGGCCAACTGCTCTGCTGTGCTGTTGTCAACTCTACAATGCCTGGACTTAGGGCATGTGGGGCTGCCAGACAACTGGGACAAGGAGCTGGCTGAACCCCTTCCCTCCCTGCTGGGGGCTTCTCCAAGGAGGTGCCTTTGGGCTTCCCTACCCCATACTGCTGCTGTGTCCAGAGCATGCCTTTGCTGCATGTGCCTGGATGGTGCACAATAAGCTGTTTTTGCAGGCCAATGGGTGCCTGAGCCACTACACCTTGTTGCTGCTCATTCTTATGGTGTCCTGGGCACACCTGTACACCTAGTGTGAGACTGGGAGCTACAACGGTGAGGGAGGTAAGCCTGGGCTTCCCCACAAAATCTACTGCTGCCTGGAGGGCTACCTGTGGCAGTGCTACACACCCCTGCCCCCCACTACTGAGGAGGACATCAGCACTGGCATCAACACCTTCCTCAGGGTGTGAGAGGCCTGTGGCTGCCTAGCTGTGGAGGCATGGGCTGCTCAATAAA